GTAGAGAAAGACTTGTTGAAATTGGGTCCCTAATGGGCTAAGAACCCGGAAAAATTGCGTTGAACCACTAAATTACTTATCTAGTGGTTTTTGGGGTTAGAATATGTTAGAATAATATAAATTTGATTGAGTACAAGTGCTAGAGATGAATGAAGAGTGTTTAGATGTGGAGAAACACTTGTTCAAATTTGGTCCCAAATGGGCTAAGAATCCATAAACATGTCTTTGGAGAAGTAAATGGGTTGTCTAGTGTTGTTTGGAGTTAGAATATGTTAGAATACAATAAATTGGATTGATTACAAGTTTTAGAGATGCATGAAAAGTGTTTAGAAGTGTGGAGAAAGACTTGTTGAAATTTGGTCCGAAATGGGCTAAGAACTCGGAAACATTGTGTTGAACCACTAAATGACTTATCTAGTGTTGTTTGGGGTTAGAATATAGTTAGAATACAACACTATTTGATTGATTACAAGTGCTAGAGATGCATGAAGAGTGTTTAGAATTATGGAGAAAGACTTGTTGAAATTGGGTCCCAAATGGGCTAAGAACTCGGAAACATTGCGTTGAAGAACTAAATAACTTATCTAGTGTTATTTGGGGTTAGAATATGTTAGCATACAATAACTTTGATTGATTACAAGTTTTAGAGATGCATGAAAAGTGTTTAGAAGTGTGGAGAAAGACTTGTTGAAATTGGGTCCCAAATGGGCTAAGAACCCGGAAACATTGCGTTGAACCACTAAATGGCTAGTCTAGTGTTGGTTGGGGTTAGAACATGTTAGAATATAATACGTTTGATTGATTACAAGTGCTAGAGATGCATGAAGAGTGTTTAGAAGTGTGTAGAAAGACTTGTTGAAATTGGGTCCCTAATGGGCTAAGAACCCGGAAATGTTGCGTTGAGCCACTAAATTACTTATCTAGTGTTGTTTGGGATCAGAATATGTTAGAATAATATAAATTTGATTGATTACAAGTGCTAGAGATGCATGAAGAGTGTTTAGAAGTGTGGAGAAAGACTTGTTGAAATTGGGTCCCAAATGGGCTAAGAACTCGGAAACATTGCGTTGAGCCACTAAATGACTTATCTAGTGTTTTTTTTGGGCTTAGAATATGTTAGAATACAATAACATTGATTGATTACAAGTTTTAGAGATGCATGAAAAGTGTTTAGAAGTGTGGAGAAAGACTTGTTGAAATTGGGTCCCAGATGGGCTAAGAACTCGGAAACATTGCGTTGAATCACTAAATGGCTTGTCTAGTGTTGTTTGGGATTAGAAAATGTTAGAATACAACAATTTTGATTGATTACAAGTGATAGAGATGCATGAAGAGTGTTTAGAAGTGTGAAGAAAGACTTGTTAAAATTGGGTCCCAAATGGGCTAAGAACTCGGAAACATTGCGTTGGACCACTAAATGACTTATCTAGTGTTGTTTGGGGTTAGAATATGTTAGAATACAATAACATTGATTGATTACAATTTTTAGAGATGCATGAAAAGTGTTTAGAAGTGTAGAGAAAGAGCTGTTGAAATTGGGTCCCAAATGGGCTAAGAACTCGGAAACATTGCGATGAACAACTAAATGGCTTGTCTAGTGTTGTTTGGGATTATATTTTTTTTTATACAACAATTTTGATTGATTACAAGTGATAGAGATGCATGAAGAGTGTTTAGAAGTGTGAAGAAAGACTTGTTAAAATTGGGTCCCAAATGGGCTAAGAACTCGGAAACATTGCTTTGGACCACTAAATGGCTAGTCTAGTTTTGTTTGGGGTTAGAACATGTTAGAATACGATAATTTTGATTGATTACAAGTACTATAGATGCATGAAGAGTGTTTAGAAGTGTGTAGAAAGACCTGTTGAAATTGGGTCCCAAATGGGCTAAGAACTCGGAAACATTGCGTTGAACCACTAAATGTCTAGTCTAGTTTTGTTTGGGGTTAGAACATGTTAGAATACAATAATTTTGATTGATTACAAGTGCGACAGATGTATGAATAGTGTTTAGAAGTGTGGAGAAAAACTTGTTGAAATTGGGTCCCGAATAGGCTAAGAACTCGGAAACATTGCGTTGAACCAATTAATGACTTATCTA